TGAGCAGAGAAATGCTGGAGTTACTCATGGTTTGGTAGGGGATGATAAGGAGCTCAGCTTGAAATCTAGTAATTTGAGATGCCTTTAAAACATCTCAGAAAAGTCAAACAGGCCATTCTCTAGGTCTACAGCTCAAAGAAGGGAAGCCTGATCAGGAGATGTGTATTTAAGAGGCTCCTGTGAATAGAACGGAAGTCATGGGCATAAATGAGATTACCCAGGACAAGAGCACAGAGCGAGGAGAAAAGAGGACCCAGGATGAGTCTTGAGAAACTCTTAGGAGACAAGCAAAGCCAGCAAAAAGCATCTGGAGAGTAGCTAGAGAGATGGGAAGAAACCAAAACATGTCACAACCCAGAAGCTTTGAGAGGGCCTGCTTGCCCCACTTTCTCCAACACAGAGCACCACAGATCTTTTGAATCTTCGCTAAACTGATCAGTTAAAAAAAAAATCTTGTTTGAAGATATCAAAGTTTTTATCGGTAATTTGGGGGTAAGTAATGGGATTAAGCATATTCCACATTTATTGGCCATAAATTTTGTAAGTTGGCCAGTGCATGCCATTTGTCCATCTTTCCCTTTTTAAATATTCATTTTTCTATAAACTTGTATGACCTCATATTATAGTTTTTCATTCTCTGCTATCACATTCTTAAATATTTCCCCATGATTTATTCTTTTTTCTTTGGCTATTTTTTCCATGCAGTTGTTTTACATATTTATGGATGTAAGTTTGGGGACCTATCTTCCTATTTTGATCCCAAGTTAGAAGAGGCTCATCCTTCAAAAGGGTCATAAATATGTTTTATATTTTCTTAGGATATTAAATCTCTTTATCTTTAAACCTTTAGTTTATGTAAAATCTACTTTGTATATGATGAGCAATTGGGATTTTTTCCAAATGGTGAGCTAGTTGTTGCAATCCCAGTTATTAAATAGAATGTTCTTTCAATCTCTTTATATTATCCTAAATTCCATATCCATTAGTCATTGGCCTACTTCTTTTGCTCTTTAGTTCTCAGTATATTGTGTCCAAACCAGCTTGTTTTAATACTGTAGTTTTATAGTAAGTATGGTTTGGTATATGGTTTGGTATGTGGTAAGGCAAATCTGTATTATTTTATAATCAGGAAAAAACATAAAGGTTTGCATATATATGTATGTTTGTTCTTCAGTGTGGAGGGTTGACGGGGAAGTATAGCATGTATGTTTGCGTATATGTTCTTACATGTGGAAGGTTGATGGAGAAGTGCATCTAAATGACTAAGACTAATTTGGGAGCTATAAACAAGTTTAAGACAGTGCCTGGAGCAAAGAGTTACCAGGGAAATTTGAAAAAATAAAAGGACACTTAGAGAGTACAGGGCTCTCAAAGGAGGTTGATAAAGCACCTATGAAGCCTGTAGATTGAGGAAAATAAAGAGGAAATCTGGTGACATGGATTAATCACTTATATTTAGGAACGAGCACCAGCTGCATTTCAAGGCCACTTAGGCCCAGGAACCTATTCCTAGCTACCAGGAAATCAATGCAGAAGGTAGGGTCAGTCATTTCATCCCTTAGAACCAGTGTTACGACTTCAGGTCTAGGTACAGTTTCAACAGCCATTTGTGGGTTTATGGCCCCCTGGGTGCAGAGGGTCCCTCAGCTTTCAGTCATATGTATTATCTTTCATCAGCCCACAGGTTTCAAAGAAAATAAAGAAATGTGCCCATTTCCATCTAGTGAAGAGTGATTGATGCTCTTGTAAATGCACACGCACACACACGCACACACACACGCACACACATCCCTAGAATGGGGCCCTCCTCTCTGGGCACAGACATCTCAGAGCAGGGACGTTCTCCAAAGGCTGTCTTACATCATAGCAGGTTTGGCCCCACCTGCAAAGGGTAGGAAACCAGTGGTGAACGGGGCGCAGCTCTCCAGAAGAAAGCAGGCAGGCCCAAGACACAGCTGGGACCTTAGCTCTTCTTCCAGACCTCCAGGAGCCACAATGAAGAGTGATCGAACAGAATCCCCTTTTGGCCTCTTGCAAGCTTCGTTCCAAAAGTCCTTGGGGGGTCACTCAGAGGGGCCAGGAGACTGGCGGCTGCTGAATGAAAAACAAACTCCTAGAGTATTTGAATTGCTGCATATCTGTATCTTTCCTATTTGGCCTCTTTCAGACAGTAACTATCCTGAATTTTGGCCTAATAACACTCATATAAAAGATTATAGGAGAGAGCATTTCTCAGTAACCAGTGATGTCCCTGGACATGGCCAAAGCAGTTTTGCTAACTGCTCCTAGGGGGAACGTCTCTATGTATAAAGTTGTTTTCCTGACCCTGGTGACCCAGAGGCCAGTCTACTTACTCCCCTCACTCCCAACATTACAGGTAATTAATGGCTTCCGCTCCATGTAAAGATGGGGCACAGGGCCCACCTATGAGCACCCACGGAGTGCCCAGACTCTGCCCCACCCTGCCTCCACTTGGGCTTGGGTGGCAGGGGAGGAAACAGATCAAAAGGTTTTTGGCCTTGACACTGAGGGAAGACAGGCAGGTGCGGGACACCTACCCGGCTTCCCTACATAGGCTCAAGCTGGACTGAGGTGACAGCCGACTGAACTAGGCGTTGACCCGGCCGAGGGGGCGGCCCGAGCCGCGCCGCAACGCCCGCGCACCCCGGCTCCCCGCGCCTCGCAGAAGCCTGGCTTTGGCCGCGGGCAGGTACCGAGGCGGGGCCGCGCCGCTCGCTCTCTCTGGATCTTCCCCGCACAGGTGAGTACCGGAGTCCTAGCGCCGAGGCCGCCAAGGAAGGAGCAGGAAGCCTCGTGAGGCTATGAGCTGGGAGGGAAAAGAAACGGAAGCGGACCTGCAGAGGGCCGGAGGCAGGGACCAAAGGTCCCTAGCCCCTAATCCTCGGGCGGTGGGGCGGTGGTGCTTGCCATCCATGCCCAGAGAGGTGGGTGCGTCTTTACGGAGGGTCTCTATGGGTTCGCAGATGAGCTGGGCGCTTAGACGCTGTGTGGAGACGCAATCCCGAACGGGGCCTCCCAGATGCTGGGGGCGCTTGATCCCAGGCTGAAATACGCTTGCAACTGTGTACAGCCAGCAGCTAAAGATACTCCTCCTGGGTCTTGAAAGGACGGCTCCTCCAGGTTCTCCGGGGTGCTTTGAAGACCTGCCTCAGCCCTGTGAATGTTAATAACGTGGAAGATTTGTTCTGCCGCGGGGAGCGGGGGCACGGGAGGGTGTGTATAGGTGGGAAAATCTGCAGGAAAGGATTGACTTAGTTTTTGCAATTTTTTTCAGTTTAAAATACCAGCAAACTTTTTCTTACTTTCTTTGCATCCGGAAAGGTGACACTAGAATTTAAGCCCAACTTTGGGTCTGTCTCTGAAGTTCTAAATTCATCTGCCCTCCGTGAGGCTTTGATTATGGAAGAGGTGGTGTGTTTTAACACTGTGCAAGTTTTCTGAACTTAAGTCAGGGGCCATGGGCACACTGTCATTCTGCGTTTTCTCGCCTGCAGCTGGGAGGAAAGATGCTGTCTGTGCAGACCCGGCAATCTTGTGGGCGCGCAGGTTAGTATCTCTCTGCAGGCAGCAAGTGTGATTTTGTCAAATCACATGAGAATTCCAGCTTCAACCCAGTTTTTCCATTCCTGTCCCCTGCAAATGACTCTTTAACCTCTTGGTTTGAATCTCAGTTGCTCACCAAACTTTCTCACCAGCAGTCCTCAGGTAAAAGTAATGTTTTTCACTAAAGCTACACAAAACAAGGAAGTAACGTGCATATTTCATTTAAATGGTTTTTCCAGTTTGCGTAATCCACTAATTCGGCCCTTCCGCCGTTGTGGTTTCCCTCACCCAGCTGGGTGTAAGATCTGCTTTAGATATTGTTGATTTTGTGTTGAACTGTAAAGCACTTGGATTTTTCTTTTCTCCCTTTCCTTTGGAGTGTTGCTGCTGGCACAGCGCCTTTGGTGCCGCCTGCTCCCCACCATGGGTCATCACTGTTGATACTGCAGGCTTACCACACACACACACACACACACACACTCCCAAACTTGCCCTGCCTGCCTGCACTTTTTGCATTTGCTCACATGGAAGCTCAGAAGGGTCTGGCCTCTCCACTCTCAGGTAGGTACCTTGTAATTACAGTGTTTGTTCAGTCCTAATGACAGCATAGCTCTGGACCTGCATTCCTTAGATGAATGAGAGTCCATTTTGCTCTGTGATAGGCTTTTTTTGCTGGAGTAAGGATTTGCTTAAGGAAATTATAGCTTTTTACCTGAAAACTGATGAAGTGCAGAGAACTTAGGAGTTCAGCCATGTGGCTGTGGTCAGGAGACTGCTTGCTTTCACATCACCCTCTCTAGCCCCTTTAACAGAGATGTTCCTAAATGTACCTTGACTTGGGCATTCTTGTCTTCCAAAAGAATTTGATTTGAGGATAGGAGAGGCAATTTATATGGAAAATATATATATATATAAATGTAAAGGAAAATTGTACCTAAAGAGCTGGTTTGGTTTGATTTCCAGGTTTTCCCTAAAACACTTTGAAATTTTAACGCATATACTATATCAACACACACATAGACTAACTAGTTATATTCCTTCCAAATGGCAAGTTTAAATTGGCAGACTAAATCTCTATCATATCTTATTAGGAGAAAATAAAACCTTAAACCTTTATAACTGACACTGACTTCTGCATTCTTTAAAAGTTGATGCAAAAATTTGCCTCTGTGGATAAACTGATTCCTGGCTGGTTTGTGTACTTTTTTTTTTTTCTAGTTTTCCCAGTACTATTTTTTGTTTGTTTGTTTTCTTTTTATTGGCAAATAAAATATACATGTTTTATGTGTACAACTTATATAGAGATATACATATGAATTATATATATACTTACTGGTTTGTGTACTTTTATCTAGAATCAAAGAAAAGTGATACAGGACCCCTTCAGAGGCTCTGAAGGTCAACTCCAATACCTCCCTCCAGTTGCTGTAATAAACAATTCTGCAATGATTGACTTTGTGTATAAGTCATATTGGACACTCCACGAGGGGCTAGTTCTGTGGAACAAATTCCCAGAAGTGCTACTATAAGTCAGATGGTGTCACATTTTCAATTCTGATAAATATTGACAAATTGTCCTCCATTGCTGCTGTGCCAGTTTACACTCCCAGTGACCAGGTAAAAGAATTAAGGTGTTAAGTGACCACCTTTGACATCAGGAAGTATCTGTGGCAGCCTCTATACTGCAGGGGAATCAAATGGGGCAGAAAGTGTTGGCTGTTCTGAGCCATTGAGACCCACTGCATGATTCCAATAGTAAATATTATAATGCAGCTGGATATTGAGGCTAAATCTAATTCTATATGGTGTTACACACATGCCCTCTTTTTCTTTTGGGAAAATGTCTCCTAGAAATTATAAAGGAATAGAGCATAAATTATAATAATCTAAAAGTACATGTTTGTAATACAACAGGATCTACCCCATTGCTGTTCAACAGAACTTTCTGTGATGATGGAAATGTTCTGTAGCTCTGTTAACGGAAAATACAAAAAAAAGGCATGGACTGGATCACCGACAGAAAATCCAAGTGGCACTCGGAGGTCTTGGAGTGTTGAGGTTTATTTCACACCCGCAGGCTCAGAGGGGAGTAATCTCCCAAAAAGTCTGAGCCCCAAACAAAGGCAAAGGGAGCAATATATATCTTTCTGCTTCCTTATCTGTAACATTCCTACGTGCACAGCAAGCGAGCAGGCAAGGGGGAGGTAGTTTAGGGAGTGAACCTTGGGAACCGATGCTCGGCAGAACGGGAAACCAAGGAAGTGGTTTGTTTTTTTTTGTTTGGGTTGAGGAGGAGGGCGAGGTGGAGAGGAGCCACCTGTAAATTACTGTCCTTGTAGTGCTGTTTATGTTGGTGGAGGGGCGAGACAGAGTGGAGTCACCGGCCAGGTTGCTGTCCTTGTCAATTTTCCCTATCATTCCCCCCCTCTGATGCCCCTTCAAACACTTTGTTTTAGGGGGCATCATCTCCCTGGCTTATGACAGGGTCATAGTGGCTCCTCATATACATGAGCTGTATGTAGGAAATGCGTTCTTTGATAAAGTTAATGAGCCAGTTAAATATACAGGGTCCCACTAATAGTTGAAGGAACAGCAGAATCCCTGGCCCAGCAAGGCCAGTTAGAGGAGTTGTTAGTCATGGATTCTATTCAAACCATCCCTGGAACTAAGACTTTTTATTTTCTAACATTTTATTCCTATGCTGGAGGTTTTTCTTTTTTTTTTACTTTGGCTAGATAGCTCCTAACTATGCCAGAGTTGTTTGTATAAAAACAACAATCTTCTTTAAGGGCTGTACATAAGCCTCCTTGTGACATGAACAGGAAGTCCAGTCCTCTATGATTTTGCAGCATCACTTCAGCCAGGGAATCAATTTGATCTTACAGCTGAATCGTGGTGGTTTCAAGCTGCTCTAAATCTTGATCAGCGTCCTCTGTTAGGGCAGCGAGACCTAAGTCTCTTTTTATTAGAGCCACTGTGCCTACTGCAGCTGATCCAGCTCCACTGAGCCCAACCAGAGCAGGGATCAGTAAAGGGGCAGCCTGTTCAGCCTAGGAAATCTTACAGGGGGACAGGAGGTAGCTCCCTTCAGGCCTACTATGCACTTTATAACTTTGTACAGTTAAACATTACAGAGAGGTACTTTGGAAGTGCAGGCTGAGACTTGAGTTCAGCTAGTAGAGACACAGCAAAACAACTTAACTATTACCCAATAGATAATAGAAAGGGCAACTTTTTTTTTTTTGAGGAATAGTCCAGTCCAGGGGTGCAACATCACAGAGTCCAATGCCCAGAATAAAAGACACCACTCTGACGAGAGCCAGGATCCACAGCGCGCAGGTGTCTATATTAGTCAGAGGGCAATCGTCGGATGCGGAGGCGGACAGGATTTGGAGGTCTGGCTGGGCCTCCCACTGATATGCTTCTTTGTCAGGATGATAGTGATGCTGGGGTTATTGTTCCTGAAGTCGAAGAATGAGCTTCACAAACATTCAAGGTAGGAGAGCAAGTTACAGGCTTTTATTTAGAGATAAAGTGAAAGGACAGAGCTCCCAGCTCATGCCAGGAGGGGACAAGAGAGTCTGTTGTTGGCTCATTGTCTAGGGGTTTTATGCGCGGTTGAGGATTTTTAGGAATGAGGGTAAAGGGTTAAGGGTGCAGACTTGTTGATTGGTCCCAGAATGCTCATTCTTGATATATAACAGAGGAGATTTTCAGCTCTAGATTCTTTCTCAAGATAGCAGTTTCCTTCTGGGAGCATGTCAGTTAAGACCGCCTACCCTGCCCCCAAGGTGGGCTGAGTTGTTGCCTGTTCGCTGAAGTAAGTTAAGAATCTTACTTCTTAACTTCTTGGGCTGTTTATAGTTGGGCTTGCTTACTAAATTAGTCTTTTTCCTAGGTTGCAGATTATTTGGTTAGGATCAGAGAAGGAAATATAGCACATAGGTACGGTTAAAATAAGCTGGGCCTTTTAGCAGGCTAAGGTAAATTTTACAGTGAAGTCAAGGGTTATACTGAGACACTTTTCTTTATCTACAGAACACTCAAATATTCCAGGCTAAATTGCTGCTGGCCTTTTGAGTTTTAACTGATCTCATTGAAGATGTCTATATTCCTAGTCTGGTATCTTTACCCTAGAGAATTACTGTGACTCTGACTTTGTGTAATGCTTATCACAGAGTTTCAATAGGGACATCTTTGCACATCATTACATTGTTCTGACTGTAATTTTCTTGCTCTGCTTTTTCTCCAGAGGCCCTCACCCTACTCTGCCTAATCCCTCCATCCCTATCTCAATGGACCCTTCTCACTCTGGAATGATGGACCCCTGGAGTGATGCCTGCAACCTTGAGGGCAGTAGGAGTGGTTAGAACAACAATGTGGGGGCCAGTCTACTGAGGTTTAAGGGGGTCTTTTTTCTAATTTTTAACTCAAACTGAGCCCACAGCCTGGAGGGAATGTTCCTAGAGAGATCGGGGCTCTATGGTGTATTGTTATAGTATATTTAGGGTGGCTTCCAAGGCTTGGAGATGTTCTCCTGTTCCCTTATCTCCTATTTGGTGTAGGTTCTCTGAGACACTTCCTAGACAAGGGGGAGGGTGTCTATATACTAATTTAAAAGGGAAAAAAACCTTGAGTTCCAGGTGTGCAGCCAGCATGCAGGAGAGCCAGGGGCAGTGAATCTGGCCACAGGTGACCAGTTTTTTGGCAAAACTTAGCTAGGGTTCTTTTGAGGGTGGATTCATTTGCTCTACTTTCCCTGAACTCTATGACCTGTATGCAGTGTGAAGTTTCCTGGTAATATTGAGGGATTTAGTTAACATTTGCACTACATCTGCTATAAATGCAGGCACATTGTCACTGTGGATTGTGGATGGTAGGCCAAACCAGGGCACAGTTTCTCTCAGGAGGACTTGGACTAACTCCCGGCTCCATTCTGTTCTGGTTGGGAAGGCTTCGAACTAGCTAGAGTATGTACACACTATTACTAGGAGGTATCTGAGTCCCCTGCTTGGCTGGACATCTGTGAAGTCTATCTCAAGGTCTTTAAAGGGGGCAACTCCCATTCTTTGGACACCAGGTAGGAGTCGTGGCACAGACCAAGTATTATTTCTGGCACAAGTTACACACTGTCTACTTACTGCTCAGCATAGTGCTGGCAACTGGCTGATGTAGTATTGCTTTTTGAGGAGGGCCTCTAGTGCAGTTTCTCCCAGGTGGGTGAGCTGGTGGTATTTGCTGACTAGCTGCCTCCCGGTTGCAGTTGGGACAAAGATACATCTGTCTGGCAACATCCACCATCCGTTTTCAGTTAAAGTGGCTCCTTCAGTTATGGCCCAATCTTTCTTCTTTTCAGTGTACCTGGGTAGAGGGGCCTCTACCTGGGGTGTTAGGGCCATAGTGAGGGAAGGAGCTCTCCCTGACTCTTTACTGGCTGCTGTTTTGGCAGCATCATCTGCCATCGATTCCCCTGTGCTATAGGGTTGTTTTCCTTTTGATTTTCTTTGCAATGCAGAATTGCTACCTTTATTATGTACGAAGAGATTGAAGGGCCTTTTTATATTTGGCAGGCCTAGGGCTGATACCTGTTCTGAAGCAGTTTTTATTTCCAGGAAGTGGCTCTTGTCTCTTTTGTCTTGACAGGGGCCTCCCCAGGAGGTTGCAGAGGGGCATTGCCATTGCTGAGAATGTGGGAATCCAGATTTTGCAGAACCCAGTGGCCCCTAGGAATTCTCACATGCCCCCCTCATCCTGGGCTGGGGCAAGGAATTAATGACCTGTTTCTTCTCTGGCTTTAGTGACCTTTCTCCCTCGGTGAGGAGAAAGCCTAAGTACTGGGCTTGCTGTTGACAGATTTGTGCCTTTTTTTATGAGGATTGGTATCCTGAGTCTGACAGGAATTGCAGGAGGGCCTTTGTGCCTTTTGCATAATTTTCCTGGGTGTCACTGGCAAAGAGGAGGTCATCTACATACCGCAGGAGGGCACAGCATGTGGCATCTCTCAGAAAGCTGAGGAGGTCTGCAGCCAATGCCTCTCCAAAGAGAGTGGGTGAGTTCTTGAACTCTTGTGGAAGCTACATCCATGTTAACTGCATCTGCCACCGCGTATCCAGTTCAGTCTATTCAAAGGCAAATAAGAGCAGGCTTTGGGGGGCCAGCCAGAGGTGGAGAAAGGCATCATTATGTCTGTGCGAGTGAACTATTTGGCAGACTCTGGGATCTGGCTGAGGATGGTGTGCAGGTTTGGGACCACTGGGTATAAAGAAATAGTTACTCTATTAATGGCTCACAGGTCTTGAACAGGCTGGTACCCTCCTCCTGGCCTTTTGACTGGTAGAAGCGGGATGTTCCAGGGTGACTGACTCTTGGTTAGAATGCCTGCCTCTCTGAGTATGGTCAGGTGTTCCTGGATGCCTGCTCTCACCTCTTGTGAGGGGGGTACTGCTGCTGTCTTTGTGCCTCCGAGAATAGTTGCAGTCTTTTTCACTGAAGGGGGCTGCAGGGAGGGTGACCACAGAGTGTTCTGCCCCTCTGTTAACTATAAAAGTGCTGTTTTGGCCCCCCACTTTCATTCTGACCATGGGCTCACAGGGGCCAAGTGCGAGAAAGCCTGTCCTTGTCACTCTGAGTCTGCTCCTGCCAGGCCAGTGAGCCTTTCCCCATGGGGCTCCTCCCGGCTCCCTCCTGACGCATGATATACAACCAAAACTTCTCCGTAAATACTGCTCCCAAAATTGGCGAACAGACCCCCTAGACAATAACAACCAATGGCCCGCAGGGGGAACTATTGATCCTAACATCACTCGCGATCTTTTTAACTACTGCCAGCGCCTGAAAAAATGGAAGGATATTCCCTATATCGAAGCTTTCCGCCTCCTCCTCTCCCCGCCCCCTCCCAAGTTCTCCTAGCCTGCAAGCCGCCGCCCCCGCAGAGGCCTCCCGTTCACTCCCTTCCCCTTCTCCTACAACAGCCCTTCTCCCTTCCTCCCCAACCATCTCCTCCCCCATCTCACCTTCTCCACCTTCATTCCCTGCAGATTAAGCCTGAGCCTTTCAGACCCCCTTTAACTAGGTCCCAAGAGCCTCCTCCGTCTTTGCCCTCATCACCTGTTTCTCCCCTGTTAGGGACCGCCTTTGTCTTCTCACATGTTTGTAGGGAGAATGGGAAAGCACCTTCCCCCATGTCTGAACGCAGCATGGGAAAGCACAAGCTAGAGAACAACCGGTGCAGTCCTTAGAAGTTATCTGTCCACAAAAACATATCTTGCCAAGACTCCTCACTCTGAAAATAGGGAGACCTTGAAGATGTGTAGAAACACCGCCCCTGCTTCTAGCTATGCCCTTCCCCCACTTGCCGATGTGGCAGGAATAGAAAACAACGCATTCCATAAGCAATTAACTGGAGCCCTGCTGTAGCTCAGTAGAGCATGGGACTCTTAACCTCAGAGTCATGAGTTCAAGCCCAACTAAAGCAGCAGAGGCAAGCAGCTGGGCTGCTAGCTGGCGACATGTGGGTCCGATTCTATCTTTCTTTATTTTCTTTGCCCCCCTTCTGCACTTCAGGACCTGCTCGACTAGGCACGGCTAGACCGCGTCACTCCCCCACAGACTGAGCCAGAACCCTTCAGTCCCCCTCAGACTCAGTCCCGAGAGCCTCCCAAAATTATCGCCCCCCTCCGGGAGGTAGCAGGATCCGAAGGCATCGTGCGCGTTCACATCCCTTTCTCCTTAAGAGATTTAGCCCAACTAGAGAAACGCCTAAGTTCCTTTTCCACTGATCCCATGACATACATCAGGGAGTTTCAATAGACCCTCCAGTCTTACAGCCTCACACATCATGACATTTTCATGCTCCTGGCCAATACTCTCCTCCCTGAAGAGCGTAGACGAGTTTAGGACTTCGCCCAAATGCAGGCTACTGAAACCCACAGGACTGACCCCACCTATCCCCCTGGCCCCACTGCTGTCCCCGAACAAGACCCACACTGAAATTATAACACCGCCATGAGTCTCCGCTCTCGAGATATTTTTGCCTCCTGCTTAATAGCAGGTCTGAAAAAGGGCAGCTTGTAAAGTAGTCAATTTTCAAAAGCTCCAAGACATAATTCAAAAGAGAGATGAAATCCCCTCCGAGTTCTTAGACAGACTCACTCAAGCCCTATTACAGTATACCAGCCTGGACCCAGAAACACCTGAAGGAAGACATGTCCTTATGACATACTTCCTAGCTCAAGGCTACCCCGACATTAAAGCTAAACTCAAAAAGTTAGAACAGGGCCCCGCTACCCCACAGACTGAGATCCTAACAGTGGCCTTTAAAGTCTTCCATAACCGGGAGGAGGAGAAAGAATGCCGTAAACAAAAGGCTGATCAGGCCAATTTCCAGATGTTGGCCCAGCTGATAAAACCACAACCTGGGCGCCCCTCTACAAACAAGCCCCCCCAAGAGCTTGTTTCAAGTGCAGAAAAGAGGGACATTGGTCAAGGGCGTGCCCCTCCCCCAGATCTCCTACCACCCCATGCCCCAGATGCCACAAAAAGGGCCACTGGGGGTCTGATTGCCCAACCACCCGAAGGGGAGGCTGGACGAACAACCCCCATCCTAAGCCCGCCGTAGTGGGGCTGGCAGAAGAAGATTGATGGGGCCCGGGGGCTTCTCGCCCGACCATTTCCATCACCAAACAGGAGCCCAGGGTTACTTTAACAGTAGACGGTCGCCCCATCTCCTTCCTCCTAGATACAGGAGCCACCTTCTCAGTCTTGTGAGAATACCGGGGCCCTACCACGCCAGCCATTACTCCTATAGTCAGAGTAGGAGGTAAACAGATTTTCCCATTAAACCCCCCACCCACCCTTTTATGCACAATCCAAGACAATCCCATACCTTTCTCCCACTCCTTCCTGGTTATGCCCCAGTGTCCCATCCCTTTACTAGGACGAGACATCCTTTCCCTCCTCCACGTTTCCATAACTATATCCACTCCCACAGCCCCCAGTACTCCCTTTCTGATGGCCCTCATAGCCGACGACCCCCCTCTACCCAATGAAAGCTCCGGTTCTGCCCTCATACACCCTGTAAATCCCAAAGTTTGGGACATTACAAGCCCCTCCGTGGCCCTATGTCCCCCTGCCTCTATCAAATTATGTGACCCCTCTCAGTATATCTGTCAGGCCCAATACCCCCTAACCACTTCAGCCCTCATAGGCCTCCAACCCATCATTCAAGCAGACCCACTCACTCCCCATTTAATACCCCCATATTAGCTGTTAAAAAAACCAACGGATCTTGCCGCCTTGTCCAAGACCTTCGCCTCATCAACATAGCCATTGTCCCTATCCATCCCTTAGTTCCAAATCCATACAGCCTCAGCATCCCACTTCTCAGTCCTAGATCTCAAAGACCCATTTTTCTATCCCTCTAGACCCCTGCTCCCAAGATTTTTTCATCTTCACCTGGACGGACCCATACACAAGACATTCTGAACAACTCACCTGGACAGTTTTGCCACAAAGCTTCCGAGATAGTCCCCATATTTTTAGACAGGTCCTAGCTCAGGACCTCAAACAGTTTCATCATGATCACTCCAAGTCCACCTTATAATACATAGACAATCTTCTACTCTGCAGTCTCTCGTGGGAACAGTCTCAACTTGACACTGCCTCCCTACTTAACCTTCTAGCTTCCAGAAGTTACCGAGTATCCCCCGTCAAAGCTCAAATCTCTTCCCCTCCTGTCACTTACCTCAGATTCCTTCTATCTCAACAAAGAAAGTCCATTACCTTAGACAGAAAATGGCTCCTCTCTGACCTGCCCATTCCCAAAACCAAGACAAAAATCCTTTCCTTTCTAGGCCCTTTCTAAGCCTAGCTAGATATTTTAGAACGTAGATCCCTAACTTCTCCCTGCACCCTGTTGGCAAGACCCCTATACAACCTCAGCAAGAGCCCCCCTAAAAAACCATTATCCTCCTCACCCCGACACTCCTTCATTAAGCTCCGTCAAGCCCTTGTAGAAGCCCCAGCTCTCCATCTTCCTGATTTGTCGAAGCCCTTCTCATTATACATTCATGAGAGGTCCAGTCAAGCTCTAGGAGTCCTAGGCCAATATTATGGCCCATCCTTTGCCCCAGTAGCTTATCTCTCCAAGCAATTAGACCCCACAGTTCGGGGATGGGCCCCCTGCCTACGAGCATTAGCCGCTAGACAGCTCTTGCAGAAAGAAGCTCATAAACTGACATTCAGGGCGCCCCTTACCATTCTGTCCCCACATCACCTAAAAGATCTCTTAACCTACAAAAGTTTACAGACTCTCCCTCCCTCCAGACTCCTGACCTTACTGTCCTCTTTCCTCCAAAATCCCGTTCACCCCCTTTGCCATCCATACCCGAATCATGACTTTTTCCTCCTTTACTGCTCTCTCGCTTTTTTTCCTCATTCCTATTGTCTTCCCCACCACCCCAGCCTCCTTTGTATGGCGATTCAAAGTCAGACAGACTTACACACAGCATCAAACAAAAGTTA